GACAATGAGGACCTAAGTGTTTGCTGAGGCTGGTGGCCAGATCCTGAGGTAGGCCGTGCCCTTGAGGTTTTTGACTTGCATTGCAAACCCAGCAATGATCAGGGAGCCAGTTGCGTCCCCCACATCCAGGAGATGGTCCTAGATGGTGCGTAGGAAACTCCATTTCTGGATGTGAATTGCTTTTCCCAAATGGACAACATAAAGCGGCAGCAGATTTCTGGGGCCCCTCTGCTGGGCATACAATACCCCCGACTGTAACTGCCTTGGGTTGTCCAGATGGGCAGAGGTGGGAGAACCAGAGCTGGGGCAAGGGGTAGACCATCACCTAGGCTCGGCAGGGAGAGTGAAAACGTTTAGGAAAAAGGTCCTGGAAATACTCAGATGGCCACCACCCACCCAACTGGCCCTGGCTTCCCCAGCTGCGTACATGAGAGTATAGGCTAGTCTTCCTGAAAGCAGGGGTCACAGAGGTATGAGGACAGCCGGCGGCAGGTGGAAATGCCCCAGACCTAACTTAGAGGCTAAGAAGCCAGGAGGGCACGGACAGCATCTTGCATGTTCTTGCATGACGTGCACGTAGATTTGAGGCTACTGGCCCCCAGGCCACTGTTGTTGGACAGTGTACGACCGTGGGGTGCCCAGAAGCCTTAGCACACTCTGCAGCCCTCCATGTGGAGCTAGGTTGTCTAAATTTTGTAGTCTCAGCTTTCTCCCTCTCTGTCCCTCCTGAGAATGCCAGCCCAAGGCCACCAGGACATACAATGAGCCCTGACCAAGGGTCCTTTCCACCCGGCATTGTGATGTCACCTCCTGCAGTTAACCACTTTCAGGGCCAAAACCTGGAAACCTTCAGAGCACAGTCCTGATTTAGCCAAGAGTGTTGGGCAACAATGAGAAAATTCTAGAAAAGCCTGAGAACAGAGTAGATAGGCTTTCTGTGCTGTAAGCGGTGGGAACCCCCAGACACAGCATTTTGCTTATTACTCCAGCCCTCCACAGCAGCCTGCCAGGAACACACACTCTCCAACATGTTGAACCCTCAAATCTCAGAAGTCCCCACAGTGATAGTCAATAATAGATGTAAGCTGGGAATCTGGGGGACAACACAGCCTTCTCTGTCACAGCCACAGAATCCTTTCTGAAGTCAAGGCCTAGGTGGGCACTGGGGTTTAGCCTGGAGAAGAGGGGAACATGCTGTTCCCATAAGGCCCCATCACTCTGGGTCTGCCTGGCACCCATCTGGAGCCACACCTGCCGGCACGAGCCATGTCAAGTCCAGTGCTCTGAAGGGCACCCTGACTGAGGCAGCCCCGGACCCTCTGCAGAGCTGTGAGAGGAAGGTGGAGTCTTATCAAGGATCTCAAGAGGCTGGCCCTGTGAGCGGCCATTCATCCAGACCCCAGGCTTGTTAGGGACTGCAGCCACTCCCCTCTTGCAGGTCTGCAGCTCGCTGCCCGCCATCTCCTGGTGCAGCACTGCACATGGGCACATGAGCGCCACCCTGAGGTCCAGAGGGATAGGACACCCTGCTTAGGATCTGGAACATGAGCTGGGAGATGCCCCCAGTGTGTACTCGCTGCCTGGGGTTGGGAGTGGGGGAGGGACACCAGGCAGATATTTGGCACACTCTCCCCACTCCCAGCCAGGCAACCCCTGCGGGTCCACAAGATGACCTCCAGCAGGACCCAGGACGGTACCCTGATGTAGCAGTGACCTCTGCAGGAGCCTCTTGCACCAGGGCCTGGGCCAGCAGGTCCTGAAGGAGGTCCAGCCCCCAGCACCCCAAGGTGTACCCATGGGTTGGCACCTCCATCACGCCTTCCAGCCAGATGTCGGTGACCACAGGGACCATGATGTATTTGGTCAATCTCTCCATCTCCTAGAGTCTGAGGTCTGTGAGATCAGCTCCCACTGGGGCGCTTCAGGCAGCAATCCGGCTGTGCAATGGCTAGACAGTTTCCAGGGAAGTAGTTGAAAGTCACATTGGCCCACACCGCCAGCATGCACCTGACTCAGATTCCCTCTAGGAGCGTCCTTTGAGGAAAAGCCTCACATGCTCGTACCACAAGCATACACCACCACACGCACCCGGTATTATATCACATCAAGTAGCCACACTACACGCCTGCCCCACATGTCTACACCACAAGTCTGTGCTATGAGTCTACACCTTTTCTTATTAATGCCTGGTGGGTTGGATACTGGAGGAACCACCAGCAGAAGGAACCCAGGCCTCTGGGAAGAAGTGGCTCCAGGAGGCTGTCTTCTAGAAGAACTTTCTAGATGGAAGAAGGAGTGAACAGGAGGGCAATACTGGACACATCAGGAGAACCGCCAGATAGAGCCTCATGTTCTCCAAGGCCACCTATAGCCTCCTCATGAAAAAAGTAAGGCCTGGTCCCCGGGGTCCTCCCTTCCCACTTCCTTCGCAAGCTGAGCACCAAGCCACGGCCCAGGTGTCTGCTCCATGCTGCTGTGTGTTCTCCGAGCAGCCCGCATGGATGCAGGCCAGACTGCCTGAGTGCACCTTCTTCCTCCTGCACTCAGGCCTCGGCCTTGAATGGCGTAGTCGTTTCTGAGCATCCCTCGGTGAGGCTGGCCTGACTGTGCCATGAGCCACAGACACATGGAGCCCCAGGCTCTGGTCGGGGCTGCCTGTTTTAAAATCACAAGGTCATGTCTTTACAGGCCTTTGGTGTTCACAAAGCTAAAGATCACCGAGGTTGTTCTGTGTCAGTACTTTAGGGTCTGCAAAGAGAAATGAAGGGCCCTGACCTTGGGCCAGAGCAGGGAAATTTTCCTAGGCAGAGTTAGCAGATAAGAGAGGCATTGCTTAGTGGCTACTAGGTAGGCTAGAGCCATGGCTAATGAGATGGAAGGAAAAGAAATCCCCAAAGGCTTCCTGGAGGAATCTACAATTAAAAAGAACCTATTAGTTGCCTATTTGAACAGGGTTGCAAACATCCTGGCACTCAGTTCATCCCATTAACAAGGAAAATGTGCTTTTTGTCATCTCACAAATACTAGCTCTGAAGCCAGAGAAGCTGGTTCTCCAGGGCACATCCCAGACTGGGTGGCTTCTCTCCATTTTATGGTAATGATAAACCTCTGGGGAGGCAGCAGGTGGTTGGAGCAGTTGGAGTCCTGGACCCGCTGGCAGGAAACTTACCCCAACACGTGTGCACGTGTGCCCAAAATCCTGAGAGGAGAATGGAGAAGGGACTACGGCATAGCTATCCCCCCTGGGGGTGATTTCTCACTTTCTCTCTCTGTGTCTCTGGCGAGCATATACACCCTATGGCAAAAATCTCTTGGGGGCAAAAAAAAAAAAAAGGCAGGCCCCTGCTTCAGGGGCACCACCTGAGAACACGCCTTGTTATCCTTCCTGTGTTCCCCACGCAGGGGTTACAGGGGCACAGAGCCCCACCCTCTCAAGGCTTCTGACACTCACCGAGGACAATCGTTGCCTTGGCTAGATTGTGACCTAGAGGCCAGTCATCCCTGACAAGGCCAGAGCAGGCCTGGCCACCTGGAGGGTGAGCAGGCTGCAGTTGCGGATGGAGGCCTCTCAGGCATCGAGGGCAGCCTGCCAGCCCTGAGAGACGCCCGAGAACCGTGGAATCCCGTGCCCTTAAAACTTCCAGAGAAACTTACTGAGTCACGAAGTGGCCCGAGAGGACTCTGTTCTTTATTTTGCTGACGCTCAGAAGAGAATGCTGTAGACATGTTTAACCCACACGTGTTAGAGTCTCCAGCTGTGATTTTTGACAACGGGTCGGGGCTCTGCAAAGCTGGTCTGTCCGGAGAGATTGGGCCTCGCCATGTTGTCAGCTCCATTGTGGGGCACCCGAAATTCAAGCTGCCCTTGGCTGGAGCCAACCAGAAGAAGTACTTTTTGGGTGAAGAAGCCCTGTCTAAGTATGAAGTCTTAAATCTGAGTTACCCCATCGACCGAGGCCTCATCACGGGCTGGGAGGACATGGAGAAGCTCTGGAAGCATCTCTTTGAGTGGGAGCTGGGCGTGAAGCCAAGTGATCGGCCGGTGCTCATGACCGAGCCCTCTTTGAACCCAAGGGAGAACCGAGAGAAGATGACCGAGATCATGTTTGAGAATTTCAGAGTGCCTGCCTTCTACCTGTCAGACCAGGCGGTGCTGGCCCTCTATGCCTCTGCCTGTGTCACAGGCCTGGTGGTGGACAGCGGGGATGGGGTCACCTGCACTGGCCTTTGGTGTTCACAAAGCTAAAGATCACCGAGGTTGTTCTGTGTCAGTACTTTAGGGTCTGCAAAGAGAAATGAAGGGCCCTGACCTTGGGCCAGAGCAGGGAAATTTTCCTAGGCAGAGTTAGCAGATAAGAGAGGCATTGCTTAGTGGCTAATAAGGAGGCTAGAGCCCTGGCGAATAACCCCAAAGGCTTCCTGGAGGAATCTACAATTAAAAAGAACCTATTAGTTGCCTATTTGAACAGGGTTGCAAACATCCTGGCACTCAGTTCATCCCATTAACAAGGAAAATGTGCTTTTTGTCATCTCACAAATACTAGCTCTGAAGCCAGAGAAGCTGGTTCTCCAGGGCACATCCCAGACTGGGTGGCTTCTCTCCATTTTATGGTAATGATAAACCTCTGGGGAGGCAGCAGGTGGTTGGAGCAGTTGGAGTCCTGGACCCGCTGGCAGGAAACTTACCCCAACACGTGTGCACGTGTGCCCAAAATCCTGAGAGGAGAATGGAGAAGGGACTACGGCATAGCTATCCCCCCTGGGGGTGATTTCTCACTTTCTCTCTCTGTGTCTCTGGCGAGCATATACACCCTATGGCAAAAATCTCTTGGGGGCAAAAAAAAAAAAAAGGCAGGCCCCTGCTTCAGGGGCACCACCTGAGAACACGCCTTGTTATCCTTCCTGTGTTCCCCACGCAGGGGTTACAGGGGCACAGAGCCCCACCCTCTCAAGGCTTCTGACACTCACCGAGGACAATCGTTGCCTTGGCTAGATTGTGACCTAGAGGCCAGTCATCCCTGACAAGGCCAGAGCAGGCCTGGCCACCTGGAGGGTGAGCAGGCTGCAGTTGCGGATGGAGGCCTCTCAGGCATCGAGGGCAGCCTGCCAGCCCTGAGAGACGCCCGAGAACCGTGGAATCCCGTGCCCTTAAAACTTCCAGAGAAACTTACTGAGTCACGAAGTGGCCCGAGAGGACTCTGTTCTTTATTTTGCTGACGCTCAGAAGAGAATGCTGTAGACATGTTTAACCCACACGTGTTAGAGTCTCCAGCTGTGATTTTTGACAACGGGTCGGGGCTCTGCAAAGCTGGTCTGTCCGGAGAGATTGGGCCTCGCCATGTTGTCAGCTCCATTGTGGGGCACCCGAAATTCAAGCTGCCCTTGGCTGGAGCCAACCAGAAGAAGTACTTTTTGGGTGAAGAAGCCCTGTCTAAGTATGAAGTCTTAAATCTGAGTTACCCCATCGACCGAGGCCTCATCACGGGCTGGGAGGACATGGAGAAGCTCTGGAAGCATCTCTTTGAGTGGGAGCTGGGCGTGAAGCCAAGTGATCGGCCGGTGCTCATGACCGAGCCCTCTTTGAACCCAAGGGAGAACCGAGAGAAGATGACCGAGATCATGTTTGAGAATTTCAGAGTGCCTGCCTTCTACCTGTCAGACCAGGCGGTGCTGGCCCTCTATGCCTCTGCCTGTGTCACAGGCCTGGTGGTGGACAGCGGGGATGGGGTCACCTGCACTGTCCCCATCTTCGAGGGCTACTCCTTGCCTCATGCAGTCACCAAACTCTATGTGGCAGGCAGGGACATCACAGAGTTCCTCACCCGGCTTCTCCTGGCCAGCGGGAGGACCTTGCCGTGCTTGCTGGACAAAGCCCTGGTGGACGACATCAAGGAGAAGCTGTGCTACGTGGCCTTGGAGCCAGAGAAAGAGCTCTCCCGGAGGGCCGAGGAGGTGCTGAGAGAGTACAAGCTGCCCGACGGGAACGTCATCTTCGTCGGGGACCAGCTCTACCAGGCGCCCGAGGCCCTCTTCACACCCGAGCACCTGGGCATCCACAGCCCGGGCCTCTCCAAGATGGTCTCCAGCAGTATTGCCAAGTGCGATGCCGACATCCAGAAGACCCTCTTTGGGGAAATCGTGCTGTCTGGGGGCACCACTCTGTTCCAGGGGCTTGATGACCGGCTGCTTAGGGAGCTGGAGCAGCTGGCTGCCAAAGGGACCCCCATCAAGATCACAGCACCCCCCGACCGGTGGTTCTCCACGTGGATTGGGGCCTCCATCGTCACCTCTCTGAGCAGCTTCAAGCAGATGTGGGTCACTGCCGCGGATTTCAAGGAGTTCGGAACCTCTGTGGTCCAGAGAAGGTGCTTCTGAAGGGCCAGTGCCTGGCAGCCATGGGGAGTGAGCTCCACCCTCAGTATCAGCATATTCAATAAAAGACAAAACGATGGAGTGTTTGGCCATGCTGGACTCAGTTCATTCTCACTGGCTCCAGAGTAACTTCTTTCCTGGTGGTGCATGTTTTAAGTGGTTCTGTCCAAGTCTCCTTCTTTCCTTTCTCCCCAAAGAGCCCTGGGCTGTGTGTGGAGATTTGTACTGAAAGCAGGGACCAGGGCTCAGCCCCAGAGACTTGATTCAGCAAGGCCCTGGAATCTGCATTGTAAACAAAGGTCTTAAGGGGATCTGAGAGAGAATCAGCAGGGAGGGCAGGGACAAGCAGGAGCTGGCCCCCGTGCTGAGGCTCGACATGCCCTTCCCTGGATGGGTCATTACAAGGCTCATGGGGCTCTCACTCTGCTTTCATGAGGCCAGACGGCTGAACAGAACACAGCCCTGTTCTTAGGAGATGGGGACAGCCAGGAGCAGAATCACTGTTTCCGTTTGGAGCTCTCTTAACCCTGCTCCCAGGAATATTAAGAACCAATACTTATACTTGATTATTAAGGTGTTTCTGTTTGTTTTTACTTTCAGAAAAGTTTATAGCATCATTGTTTGGGGATAAAATACTGGAAATAAGGTTAATGAAAGTATATAGAGAAATGGGGACCAGCAGATGATGTAATGGTTATGTCGCTGGATTCTCACATGGCCAATCATGGTTTGAGTCCTGGAACCAGCGGCTTGAAACTCACACCAGGCATGTGTGTGTGTGTGTGTGTGTGTGCCCAAATTTCCTAGAGGAGAATGGAGAATAAGGAATTGCAGAGTGGTCAACCCCTCTGGAGGGGTGGTTTCTTGCTTTCCATGTCTTTGTGTCTCTGATGAGCACATATACCCTATACCAAAAATTTCTATCAAAAACAGAGAGAGAGAGAGAGAGAGAAATGAAAAATAAAGGCAGGTATTTTTTTCTTTTTTTTTTTGTATTTCATTGAAATGTTTTATTTTGAGGAATATTTACGGATGTTTAATTTTAACAGAAATTTTATATACTCTTTTCTTTTTTCTTTTTTAGGTTTTACTCTAGGGTACATACACTCGCATAAGAGCAATAGAGAGAGAGAAAGTGAGAAATCACTCCAAGGGGGGATGGTCACACTTCAGTCCCTTCTCTTCCCTTCTACTCTCTCAGGATCTGGGGTATACACACACATGCACCCAGTGTATTTTTCAAGCTACTGGGTCCAGGACTCAAACTACCAAGTCAACTGTGTGGTATTCAGCCACCTTAACCCCTATGCCACTGGCTGGTCCCAGACAAGTTTGTTTTTACATAGGGTGAATGTGCTCATTTGAGAGAGACAGAGACAGTGAGAGGGAAAGTGAGAAATCACTCTCCAGGAAGGATGGCCATACCATAAGCCCTTTTCCTCCAACCTCCTCCTGGAATTTTGGGCATGTATGCACGTGTGCCCACATGGTTTTCAAGCCATAGGTCCTCGGACTTAAACCGTGGTAGGCCATGCCAGAACCTTAACCATCACACCACTTGATGGTCCTGAACATGTGTTCTTAAATAGTTATAAGCACATGGAGAATAGGACAGAAGGACACACCAGGGGTTATACTCCAGGTAGGTGAGAAGGAAGCAATGAAGCAATGAAGAGGGAAGAAAAGAGGAAAATAGAAGGAAAAAAAAAAAAAACCAAAGAACTAAATTTAAGACATGTAGTCTGAATGAAATAAACTCATGCATTTAAAATTGTGGTTGTGTTCATCTTTATGTGTTATTTTTTCATTATTTTACTTTCAACCTACCTATGCTGTATTCAAAATGAGCATATGGTGTGCATTATTATTTTCCTGTATCACCAGGAGCACATATGCTTACCAGAAATAGAGACTGAGAAAGCACCGGCAATGGCCCGTGGTAATGCTGCAACACTTCTTCCTCCATTTCTCCACCACGTCAGGATTTGCAGGCACATACACACATGTATCCAGCATGTTTTTCAAGTCCCCAATCACATGTTCAACACGTGTGATCCAGCTTTCTATGCATGGTGCTTAACCATGGCGCTATGGGACCAGCCCGGGTTAGGTCTTTCTTTAATCCCCTCTCTCAATCTCTGTACTTTAATTAGTCTATATATACTATTTACATTTAAGGTAATGGATGTGCCATGTTTTTTTTTAACTTTTACTTATTTCCACTTATTTTTTAATTTGAACAGACAGAAACAGAGAGAGAGAGAGAAAAGGGAAGTGAGAGAGCAAGCCACACAGGTCCGAGACTCGAACTCCAGTCGGCCATGTGGGAATCCAGCACCTTTAACCACTACGCCACCTGCTGGCCCCATGGATGTGCCCTGTTTTAAGCCTGCCATTTCAGTGGTTTTTTTGTTCATTTGTTTTGTGTGGGTATGTGTGCTTCTTTCTCCTGTTTCTCATTCATATTTCTTTTTTCTTACCATCCTATGGGGTACTTGAACATTTTTTAGGATTCTGTCTTGCTTTATAGTGTCTTTTTTAAAGTAATTATTTTATTTAACTTAATTTATTCATTTATTTTAATTTGACCAGAGAGGGACAGAATGAGAGACAGAAAGAAGTGAGAAGACAAGCTACCAGGTCTGGAACTCGAATCACAGTTGGCCATGTGGGAGTCCAGTGCCCTTAACCACCACACCACCTGCCAGCCCGATTTTTAGTGTCTTTTAAGTCTATTTCTTGGAATAGGTTTCTTAGTGATTGTTGTAAGCATTACGCTATAGATCTATGTGACATCATAATCTATAGATATAGACATTTTACTGTTTTGAGTAAAAAAAAAAAAAACTTACCTCTGTAGGACTCTGTCTACATTGAGCACAATATCAAATGGTGGAGTCTTTCCTTCAACTGTCAAAAATGGTTTCAGAAGCTCATGAAAAGAGTCTATCAAGTTTACCCCTGTTTTTACCTGATCTGATGCCCCATTGTCCTTACTGAAGCTCCAAGCCACCTCCTGGTATTTCTTCTATGTTTAGAGAGCTTCCTTTAACCATTCTTCAAGGGTAGGTTTGCTAGCAACAAATTCCTGTAGTTTCCCTTTGTCTGAGAATGCCTTTATTTCCCATTCATCCCTGAAGGAGATGTTCCCTGGATATACAATCTGCAGTTAACAGTTTTCTTTCAGCACTTGAAAAATATGGTGCCAGTTCCTCTGGCCTCCGTGGTTTCAGATCAGAGACCCTGTTATTCGATCACTGTCGCTTGCAGGCAATGTGTCATCTCTCTAATTGCTTTCAAGAGTTTTCTGTCTTTAGGTTTTAAAGATTTAATTATGTCTAATTATTATGCATCTTGGTGCGAATTTCTCTGGGTTGAGCCCACCACCTTCTTCCCCCTCATTAGTGCTGAGGCGGGCTGGAGGTTCAGCTCTGCCCCCGGAACCTGCTGACTCCAGGGTCGAGGCTGAAACCATTTGGCGAGACCTGGCTCTCAGTCCTCTTCAGTCATATTGCTGCTGGGAATGAGGGCTTGGCTCACCCTCGGCCCCGCCAGCTACCCTTCAGGGGGACCAGAGATGGCCAGCTTCCTGCTCAGTCCTGCCACACTGCTGGGCAGGAGAATTGGAGGACAGTGCCCTGGGGGGAGGACAGTGCCTCCCTCGAGTGAGGAAAGGCTGGTGGGATGTGGTAGGGTTGGGGAATGGGATGGGGATAGTGTGGAGTCTGGGTTGGAGTGGAGAATTAGGTCAACTCCCTACTTTTTCCCTGCTGAAACCATGGAGGTGGAATGTGGTTTTTCCACAGTGTTCGTCGAGGGGTAGCAATGGTATTCCCACAAAGGTCTTATTCTGTTGTAGGCATCTATCCAAGAATGTCCTAGGTGGACATGAGCTTTTTTTGGGGGGGGTCTGTGCCTGTTAGAGATTTTGGAGGCTTCTGAGCACTCAGACTTATATGAGAGCCGATAAGGAAACCCAAGGAACTCCCAGGTGCCGGGGCCCCGGGCAGCCTGGCTTCTCCTCTCTGATTTGCGGACTTCCTATACTTGTTATGGACATCCAGGGCTTTGGAGTTGTTAGAGGGAGGGCCTTGGGGGAATGAGGCTCTTAAATAATGTTTTCATTTCTTTTCATAATATCCGAAGGTTGCAAGGGAACTTAGAGCTACTGGCCCCGTCATCAACACCCTGTCAGTTTTACAGGTGAGAGTGTTAGGACTCAGAACTTGGGACTTACCAAGGCCCCACAGGGAGTTGAGAGAAGACCTCAGCCTGAAGGCCCGACTAGGGCTCTTTCTCCTTTGTAAACTCCTGTACTCCTCCCGTAAGTCTGTTCCCATCTTACTAATCACTCAACTTAAACTAAGGCGAAATTCTTCTTTTGTCTAGTATACTCTGACTGCTCTTAAGGAGAGGGGGCTGCTGTTACTGCCGCTATTGCTGTGGTGGTGGTGGTGGTGGTGGTGGTGGTGATTTTGGTGATAATGGTATTGGTGATGGTGGCCATGCTCAACTCCACTGACCCTCAAATCTGGCTGTCATTCTTGACGGTGGCTCAGGTTCTGCAGGCTAGAACTCTCAGGAGCAGGTTCTGTGAAAGAACCTTCCCCACAAAGTCCCATTACATGACAGGGACTATGTTGGGGAGAGCTCGAGCCAAGAAGTTGTCCCCAAACTCAAATACCCCATGGGCTCCCTCTATAGCTTTGCTGCCTCCTGGGACACCATGGAGGAAATGTGGAGGAACCTCTACCGTCCGGGGTCCCGTAGCCCATTTCCCTGATGGAGGTTCCCGTGAATCCCCAGAAGAATGGTGCCGTAATTGGAGTATTTGGGGGACCTGATGCCTCAGGGCCTTTTGTCCCACCGGCAAAGTCCAGGCCTCACTGAGAACAGAGCAGACTGTGATGGCCACTGTGCACATCTGTGAGGGCAAATGCCTGTCCCATGGCATGGCTTGTGCCAGAGAGCATGATGATGCTGCCTGGCCCAACTCCAGGGAGAGCAGAAGCTTTTTCAAGTCAATGAGGGTGACATTGGGCAGGAGACAACCCCACCTGACCCTAGCTGAGAAGTGACAGGGGAG